CTCAGCCCTGATGATGCAAACTCCAACGTTTGCGAAACGTCGGCATATCGCTGATTCAAGACACGGCTCCATTCCGGAAGCTATACCTAGACATTGTATCAATGGCCGTGAAAGCCTCAAATCTAGTATTAAGTAGCCTAAATTACTACTTGATAAACGCGAGTTTATGCCGAATAATTGGCGAATCATAAGTTACATGTTAATAATTTATTACAAGAACCAAGAGTCATTATAAGCCATTACTTATTTCATCTAAAAATTGTTTCGCTCTTACTGCCTTGTTGTACCGTTAAAGACAGTCTTGGACAGTCAGTTACATTAGATGTTGCTTAACCCTTTCTCTGTCAGGCGAAAATTACACTTACGTGCTAAAAATGTTTCGAAAAATGAAAATCTTTAGAATGGCATAACGAACACAAAATTAGGGTTTTTGAGATGAATTTGAATCTGAAGTCAGATTTTGAAAACTTATAATGGCGGATCCAATATGGCGGATCAAAATTCGAAATTTTCTTGGAATTTTGTGAACGTGGTAATCTATATGTTTTCAGAGTTACTGGATTCAAATCTGAAGTCAGATTTGAACTCAGCATTATAGAAAAGCAATGTCACTTTTATAAAATTCCAAAATTTTTTCCGCACTTTTGACCGCCATATTGAATCCGCTATTTTGAATTTTAAAAATCTGATTCCAAATTTGAATCCAGTAACCCTGAAAACATATTGTTACGTCCTGGAGAACAACGTAACGTAACGAAAAACCTCGGCCGTACGCACAGATCGAGTAACGAGTCGGCGACCAGAAGGGTCATTTTACGTGTGGACGTACGGCGAGTGGTCCTTTTTTCCGATCAGAAAACCGAATCTCTTTATCGCGGAACGAACCAAGAGCGGATAATCGAAGGGAAAGGAGGTTGAAAAAAATGAAAATGAAATTTGAAGTAAAAATTGAAATTTGAAATTTTGAATAACATTAATTCATTCATTCATTTCTCGGGGCTTGTTACAATTTTATCCTCCGCAGTTTATTACAAATCAAAAGGTTACAGTAATAATAAAAAAAAATTTACTACTCACCACTCTCTTGGTCTACTATTTCAAGACAATCACTTCTTTTTTAGACAATATACACTCTATACTCTACACTCGTCTCTTACTTACATTCGAGTATTCATATACACAGGTTTCTGCGAGTGATATATTACATCTATGTGAGTATGCGTGTAGGTGAATGGTGTGTAGGTGAAAGTTAGCCTTCAGAATTTATATGGGGAGTAGGAGACGAGGAAAAAGATGGGTCTCGAAGGATGAAATTGAAATTTGAACTCATTGGAATTATTACAATTAATTAACGCGGCAGAAATGACAAAGAAAAAAGAAGGAAAAGAAAAGTTGTTGGATTTACTTTCAGCGATAACCTTTACCAAAATGTGGGTTGAAGACAGTCGACAGGTCCGGTCGGTTCATGGGCGGTGAGACTCCAAGGGATCCTCCAAGCTTGGCGCGGTTGCACTGACTCGATTGGGATAAGTTTCCCACAAGACTCACGAAAATATAGAGAATTTGCGCGGAGGAAAGAAAGAAATATATCACTCGGACATGGCAGAAGCCCTTGTATAGAAATAATCGAATGTATGTGACAGTGTTCAGTGCCAAGTAAGTGACGGATAAGAAGTCGAAGAGTAAGAGAGAGTTCGCGCCGCGGGGTTGCGGTTTTATAGGATATCAGCTGGGGATGGTTTGGTAGGAAAAATGTGAAATTTCGGGGATACTAGGTGTTGGATTCGTTAAAGGAGGTAGATATGGGGTAACGTTGCAGCCAATAATAGGTGAGGAGATAGGGTTAGGAAGATTTCTTTGGCTGAGGTTGTGGGTGGAGAAAATCGTACGTTTAAAGGAGATGGTATTGAAGGAACCTTAAGGTAGTGAGGGAATTTTGGGTAGGAAGAGGATGCAAGTTGAAAAGTATAACGGATATTTTTGTTTGTTGTCTGGCGGCTTCTTTTAATTTTATGGATAAGGTCCGGCGGAATATGCTTTGAGGATTAGGAGGTTCTCAGAGTTTCCCAGGGTTATCTGGGATTATCGTTAGAATTTTTATTGTGAAGGTCGGAAAACTCGTTGATGATTTGGAACTGTTAGTCGGGTGTCAACAGGAAAGTTATATGACTCACGTTTGTGCAGATTAGGACAGAAGAGGATGATAATAGATTACCACTTTCACAAAATTCGAAGAAAATCTCGAATTTTAGTCCGCCATATTGGCTTCGCCATTTCGAATTTCAAAAATCTGACTTCAGTTTTGAATCCAGTAACTCTGAAAACATATAGCTTATCATCTTCACAAAATTCTAAGAAAATCTCAAATTTTAATCCGTCATATTGAATCCGTTATTTTAAATTTTCAAAATCTGACTTCAGATTCAAATTCAGCGCTCCCCAAAAACCTTCGGAAACCCATGCACAATCAAACCAAATGAAATTGAGCATATTTTTTTTGAGATACGCATATGTGCGTCATGGAGCAAAAGTTGCACGAATTTTTTTGCGCATATATGCGTCACTGACAGGGAAGGGGTTATATAAGTATATTATTTTTTGGTTTCCAGAGGCGGATATTCACGGGATAAACGTATACTCTTTGCATCCTGGCGCCATACCCACCCAAATAAGCCAGAATAGTAATCCGATTTTGAACTTCTTTTATACTTCACTGCTAAAGATATTCGGTAAGAATGTTGCACAAGGAGCGCAAACGATAATACATTGTTCGGTGGACGAGAAACTAGCCAACGAGACTGGACTCTATTATACGTAAGAGCGCACGGCACAGAGTGAAGTTTGAAAAGAGTAGTTACTCGTACTTTCGGTAAATTTTGATTTTGATTCTACTCTTTTTCTTTGGCAGAGAATGCAAAGTTGCCAACCCGCAATGGAGGGCGAAGGATGAAGAATACGCGAAAAAATTATGGAACTTATCCTGCGAACTATTGCACCTACAACCCATAGAGGAACTTAATGCATTTTTGAAAACTGTCAAATGATGCGACATATTGACGAAAACGCATGTTAATATCACGTGTAATTACTAAGTTGAACAAATAAATGACGCTTTGTCTCAATTAATGTCAATCAATGTTTGTATTAAAACTAATTATAGAGAAAAGTATAATTTGCTTGCCGTGGCTCGTGTTCGTTAATATAGACATGGCAAAGTATATCGAAGTCTTACTTGTTGATTAACTTGTATTAATAAATAGAGATAATGTACAGTTTATACGTATCAGCGAATACCAGCGAAACTGATATAAAAATATCAGCGAAAATATGCGATATGTCTGACAGAAATTCATATTTATCAATTGACCAAAAGAGTATCTAGTATGTATTGCGCGAGTAATTAAATAAATGAAATCTAATAATAACAATGAATAACAAAAATGTAATAATCATCATTTAGTAATTACCACATAATCTGTAATAATAAAGCCTATATTTTAACAGTTATTACTTGAAATTGGAAGTCAAATGTGAAACACTGGAGACCGTATTAATAATTGTTACTCGAAACTTGCTTTAGTTGAAACACTCAGATTTGAATTTACAATCAAATGTGAATCTTTCAACTGAATCACGATTGGAAACGTAACAATCAGGTTTTTATACTGATTTATAATATCGTTAGAATATATCATAATACACGAGGAAATAAGGATAGGATGTACATAACTAGAAATATTAAGTTGTGACAAGTATAGTTACATCATACTCTAATTATCTTAATATATATATAATATGGTAATATGTATGATTAATATGATTCATTATTAGTTACTTTGGTAACGTTGCATATATTGTGTAATTCAAATAAAAAACCCATATCTAACTCTAAATTTATATCTGAGTATCTCACGTGGGACAAGTTTCAAGTAATGATTATTAATACAGAGTTAGATTAGAATTATTCAGATGAATTATGACGAGAGATATAACATCACATGTGTACAATTCAACTGAAAAATTTGAATCTAACTCTAAACAAAAGTCTAAGTATCTTGCGTGAAACAAGTCCAGATGACAATTGTTAATACGACTCTTAGGCTCGTATAAATATCCGTTACTTGAAATTTGACCTACGTGAAATACTCGGGTCTGAAGTACGAGTTTTGTAGTACGACATCTGAGTTTCTTATTTGAATTAGGTAATATATGCGATATTCTTGTAATCGTGATTCAGCTGAAAACTCACATACAGGCTCCTCCAAAAGTATGAAAATGGCTCAATAATTTGTCAGAGATACATCATGGAAAAAAATGTTAAATACAAAAGTTGCAGGATTTAAAAAGAGGCATACGATGGTGGCCTTGACTTTGACCTTCAGCTTGACCTTCAAGATTATTTCAAGGTCAGGTTGATTTTTTAAAATGGAAATCCCTATTTTTTATTGTATATTCTTGTAACTTATTTCGGCAGCTTTACAAAAGCTGTTTGTTATAATAATGTATTTTTTTGTTAAGTACTTTTTGAATAATAAAATTTGAAAGTTATAATACCGCCATTAGCATTACCAAAGGTATACTATGCGGAGATTGCTCAATCGAATTTACACCTCTTGTGTATGTGCGTGTGTGTGCGTGCATGTGTGTGCGTGCGTGTGTGTGCGTGCGTGCGTGTATAGTTTTTAGTAAGATTTCATCGTAAAGCAAAATTTCATTGTAAAATTGACAATACATAAATTTGTTACACACCATATCAAATCCAATTTTCTGGATTTACGATGATGGAGTTAACGGTTTCTATGTGTCTTGCGTACAATGACATTGTCTGTATTTACAAAGTGCATAAAAATAGGCGTAGTCACTACTATGAACTGATTCTTCCAGCGAGATTTTACTGATTATAATGCTATACTTATAACTGAACTACAGTATAAGTATAGCATTGCAGTGAAGAATATACTGATTGTATTTTAGAGAATAAAAACAGTGGGAGGGAAAAGGCACGCGCTGTACAGAATATGTGTTTTTTTTTTTAATTTTTTTAAGAGGACATTCCAATGTAATTCCGGTAATTCGTTGTGTTATTGAAAATAAAAAAAAATAAAAGTATAACCTGAAAATATCGCAACATTGATGTTTTCTCCTTCTTTCTTTTTGCGAGAAAGGGCAAATTGACGTGAAAATATGCAGCCGGAAGGAAATGTGATAGTTCCGGTATACTGTCTGCAACGCCTGAATATAGCGAGAGGTCATGTAACAATGAGAATCCACGGGGCCGAGAAATTCAAGCGGGATTTCAAGATCCTCGACGAACCGAGGATTCTGTTCCCAGAATCGTCGGGAGGAGATCGCGCGATAGCAGAGGAATATCTTTCGGCGATAACCATCCGTTCGCACGGCCACCAATCTCCCGACGACCCGCTGACCCGATCGTATTAATTAATCGTGAGTCGATAGCGCGCGGCCCTTGCAAGAAGCCCGGCTTTTTAGGAGACGCGAACGCATCGAGAGTAGGCGAACGAACGATCGCTCGCAAGGGGGCTCGACGGTAATGGCGATAAGGAAGAGGAACGAAGGATGGACGGGATAGACGAGAAGGCCGGAATGGGCGAAGCGGGTTAGCGAAGCGACGAGACATTCGAGATAGATCGCGGGAGTCGCTGCGCGGCCTTATTACATCGTAAATTCCCGCTTAGTGATGGATAACATTAACCCATCGGCAACGACAAATTACTTAACTCCGCCGAGATCGGGGCGTGCAGCCTCGCCGTTCACCCGGAACTGGTTCTTCTTCCGTCGCGGTTCCCGCAACCTCGATCGATGCCGTGTTGTCGAGAGTGTTGCGGCGCGGTTCTGAACGTCCGACACGTTCCGTTGGCGCCACGCTAAGTTCCGACCAAGTCACACGGTAGCCACCAAAGTCCCTTTGTCAACCAAACTTTACGGAGAAGAAAAGAATAAACACTTCTGGTATTAGGCGTGTTTCATGCGGTTCGCCAAAGGTAATTTATTTGTACTGCATGTACAAATAAATTCGATATCTTTTACTTACACAATTTAAGATTTGTTTGTAAAAAACTAAGAACAACCTTAACAGGTAGTATGGGGTGCTAGGCACCCCAACTAATTTTATTTTCGTGATAATTCCTAAACTATCCACTGTATGGCGCTAATATCTTCAGTATCTTTCGAGTAACAGTTTTCAGTGTGACAGAAAAAAAGATCATCGAGTTATTTGTAAGCTGTGAATTATATGCATTTGTTTTTCGTCTATCACTGTTCACAGTGACTCCATTGTACCATTAACATTACTTTTATGAAAATAATTTTCTTAATCTTCAGCTCAATATGACTCATTCTTCACGCAAAAGAGTAAAAACTCTTGCCTTTTAGTTAGTAGAACCTGAATTGAAGAGACGTCTTACAACTCAATATATTCATAAGTCATTGCGTTTAATAATTTCATCTATTTTAAAAATTGAAGAAACTGAAAGATCTAAAATTATTTTGCTATCCAGAGTAAGATGTAATAAATGTCCTAGAAGTAAAGATATGGAGTCCAAAGAAGTATATGTTAGATGCAATGAACCAGTATGCACCAAATGTGCAAGCACTATCTGTAACGATTGCATCTAAAAATCCTCTAAGTTTTTACTATTGTATTTAATTTAACAATACTTGTTTATATTTTTTATATAATCTATAATTTATAGACTTAGATTAAAACATAATTTTTTTTCTTTTTCCGATTATTTGTCTTTCAGTGTGTTTTATTTCAACACTGTCCATATTGTGTTCATTTTATAATCAGTTAACGTTTTCTTTTAGATTACTGAAAAACTGAGACTGTTATTATATATGTCTAGTTGTAATATAATATTCGTAAAGTATTATTTTCAAATTTTATCATGTTAAAAATGGCCAAAATTTATTGGGGTCCGCCGGATCCCATTGTATCTATAGCTTGATTAAAAAGGTACCTGTTATGGGTTAATCATCGAAATAATCTTTATTATATGTTCGATGACTTTGCTTCATCTATCGGACCAAATGTCCATATTAAATCAAAAGCCCATATTAGTCATTACTTTAAACTTGTCAAATTACTTAAACTCGTCTCACGTGAGATACTTAGATTATAATTTAGAGTTAGATAAGAGCTTCTCCGGTCGAATCGCGTTTACAGATATAAATGTAACACTTAACATAATTCAAGTAAAGAACTTCTGACTCTAAATAAAAATCTAGATATCTCATCTGAGATAAGTTTTAAGTAATTATTAATATGGACCAAAGATATGCTTCTTTTTAGGCGCCATCGTGTTTACTACTGTTTTGAGAGATTGTATTGTCCGCTCTATCAAATTAAATAGTGTTTTGAAAACATTAATATTAATATTTGAATACATTATAAAGGTAGGAAAATATTTAAATTTAAAATGGGGTTATAACCACCCGAAAAGAATAATTACATACAATTATATATATAAATTTTGTCTTTATATCGTCACAGTAATTATATATGTTCACACAGAAATAAAAGTACCGTTGTACAAATACAATTAAATTAATTACTTATGTTTACAGCATGTTGTAGTTTACGATTTTTTTTGTAGAACGTTTAATTATATAAGACTATTTACTCTTTTTTTATTCAACAGCATCTTTCCTATGTGGATATATATAACTATACAGGGTATCCCAAAACTGGTAGAACATTCGTTAGAAGTAGATAAGGGGTGCAATTTGGAATTGAAAGTTCCTCTTGCATTTTTGGGTCCGACAATTAGTTAACGAAATATTAATGAATTAAGTCTGCCAATCTCTTACCGTCCCGAGTGAGCGCTCAGAGACGTAGAACGCTGTGGACTTCTCAGGAGCCTTTCTTGTCCGTTTGTCTCCCCTTTTTGTATCACAAGGGAATAAATGTGGATGAGTGAGTGAGTGGATGTGTGGGTGAGTGCCTGACCGGGACTAGGAGAGGAGGGAGGTGGCAAGTTTTCTGTATGTGGAAGTAATGTGCCTCTCATACACACAACGCAAGAAAATCACTTACACTCCCCATCCCCTTACCCCCCATACACACACACTAAAATTATTCACGGTACTCAATCATCGACGTGCAGAAAACATTCAAGTCATCCACGTACGCGAAGGAAGCATATCACACATATCCTCCCCCTCCCGCATATAAAGCGCAATCATTCCACCCATTTTCACTAAAAACATTCAAATTATCCATGCACTCATAATCGCACACAAAAACACCCGCACATTACTCCCACATACAGAAAATTGCCACCCCCTCCCCTCCTAGCCCCTCCTAGTCAGGCACTCACCCACACATCCACTCACTCACTCATCCACATTTATTCCCTTGATACAAAAAAAAGAGACAAACGGACAAGAAGGGCTCCTGAAAAGTCCACAGCGTTCTACGTCTCTGAGCGCTCACTCGGGACGGTAAGAGATTGGCAGACTTAATTCATTAAAATTTCGTTAACTAATTGTCGGATCCAAAAATGCAAGAGTAACTTTTAATTCCAAATTGCACCCCCTACCTACCCCTAACGGGTGTTCTACCAGTTTTGGGACACTCTATATATGAACATGCATACAAGGTGCGGCAAAAGTATTGGACCGTAATTAACTTTTTAGTACTGTATTTTCTTGCATTTTCTTGAAATACTAAAAAGTTTTTAAAAAATTTTGAAAAAATTCTCAGAGCTCTATGAGAAGAAAATAGGTAATTTTATCTTTTGCTATTTTTCGCTAAAACTGATAGAATTTGAATGAAAAATTATTGATACCAATAATTTTGTAGATATTTCCATATATATTCTTAGAAAATGGCGGTCGTATAAAAAAGTTTTTCAAACAAAAGTTGTTTGTT